GCTTGAGAAATGCTGAGTGTGTTCTTCCTTTTTGGTTTTCTAACTCCAGATCTTTGCACATTTTGTTGTAATATTTGACTTTGTCTTCTCCAGCTAACCTTTGAAATTTTCTGTTCAGCTCTTGAACCTCCTCATTTCTTCCATTTGCTTTAGCATCTCAACACTGGAGAGCAAATTTCAGTGTGTCTTCTGACATCCATCTTGACCTTTTCCTTCTTTCTTGTCTTCTTAATGACTTTTAGCTTTCTTCATGTATGAAGTTCTTGATGTCATCCCATAACTCTTCTTGTCTTCGGTCTTTAGTTTGTAATGTGTCAAATCTATTCTTCAGATGATCTCTAAATTCAGGTGGGATATATTCAAGGTCATATTTTGTTTCTCGTGGACTTGTTTTCCTTTTCTTCAGCTTTAGTTTGAATTTGCATATGAGCAATCTGATCCTTGGCCTTGTTTTGACTGATGATATAGAGCTTTTCCATCCTTCCTCTCTTTCTGCAGATGTAGTCAATTTGATTTTTATGTAATCCATCTGGTGAGATCCATGTGTATAATCGTCTCTCATGGTGTTTAAAGAAGGTATTTGAAATGAACAAATCATTGATTTTGCATAATCCTATCATGTGATCTCCAGCATCATTTCTATCACCAAGACCATATTTTCCAATTGCTGGTCCTTCCTCTTTGTTCCTAACCTTTACATTCCAATCACCAGTAATGATCAGTATACATCTTGAGTGCATGTTTGATCAATTTCAGATTGAAGAAGTTGGTAGAATTCTTCTATTTCATCCTCACTGGCTTTAGTGGTTTTTGTGTAAATTTGAATAATAGTGATATTAATTGGTCTTTGCTGTAGGCGCATGGATATTATCCTATCACAGACAGCGTTGTACCTCATGACTGATGTGGATATGTTCTTTTTGACAATGAATGCAACACCATTCCTCTTCAGTTTGTCATTCCTAGCATAGTAAACCATGTGGTTTTTAGATTCAAAATTGCCAGTACCAATTCATTTCAGCTCACTAATGCTTAAGGTATCGATGTTTATGTGTTCCATTTCATTTTTGACAATTTCCAATTTTCCTAGATTCATACTTCATACATTCCATGTTCTAATTATTGATAGATGTTTACAGCTGTTTCTCTTCATTTTGAGTTGTGCCCCATCAGCAGATGAGGGTCCTGTGAGTTTTACTCGCACGGGCTTTTACTGCATTCATTCACGTCACTGCTGTCAACTCTACTTTGAGGAGGCAGGTCTTTCCCAGTTGCATTTTGAGTGCCTTCCAAACTGAGTGGCTCATTTTCTGGCACTATATCTGACCGTTTTTCTGCTATTCATAAGGTTTTTTGTGACTAAATATTTGAAAGTAGATTGTCACTCCTTCTTCCTAGTCTGTCTTTGTAAACTCATCTGAAACCTGTCCACCATGGGTGACCCTGCTGGTATTTAAAAGACCGTTGGCATAGCTTGCAGAATCATAGCAACTCATAAGCCACCATAGTATGACAGACTGACAGTCAAGTGGTGGTTTTTTTCACCACTAGACCAGGATTTATCACAGTGCTTATGACAGCAGTCAGTTAGATATTTGCTGAATGAATCACACAGTCCGTATGACTTCAAAACCCATATTCTCCTGCAATAGGCTGCATAGTAACGTTTTAAAATAGAGCTTATCTTTTATTTCCCTCATCAGTAATTTTGAAAAAGTGGAAACAGCTTTTATATTCTTTGGCACCGTGGTTTAAGTGCTCAGCTCTTCATCAGAAGGTTGGCTGTTCGAACCCACCAACTGCTCTGCAGGAGAAGGATGTGGTAGTTTGCTCCCATGAAGTTTACAGTCTTGGGAATTCTACTTTGTCCTGTAGGGTCACTATGAGTCATAATGTACGTGATGGGTGTGGGTTTTGTTTGGCTTTATAATGAAGCAAGTGATTTTTTTTTTTAAAACTACAGTATTTTAAGGTAGAAACTTTATATTTTGTGATCTCAACTGATTTGTAGTTTCTGTTTTCATAATGCCTTCTAGTTTTATGATTAATGTTTATTATGTTGTTGTTTCATTCCTATTCATGTATTTCTTTCTCAGATGGCTAAGTGTGATGGCTGTAAACGAGAGGGGAAGCTAAGTGAGTCCATGAAGTGGCGAGGCAATATCAAATATTTCTGTAACCTATTGTATGTCATTGAATTTTGTCATCAGCAAATTACAAATGACCGTTTTTCACAGAATAAAGGTAAAATTAAAGTTGACTAACAGAATCTTGTCAATAGGTCACATAGTTGTAAATAATAAAAACAAAATTTTACTGGGTCCAAATAGCCTGCATTTTATTAAAATTTCCTGTAAGAATCCTTAATGATTGCCCTTAAGAGAAAATTAATATTAATGAATTTTACTGTGATAATCAAACACTCTAAGGCATTGATAATTGTATAGACACTGATTTTCATAGACAAATTTCATTACTTTTGATTGAATTTACCTGTGCAGAAATAACTACACTAAGGAGTGCATACTGTTCAGTTAACATACTGGAAATAAAAATAGAAAATCAGAGCAAAGAAAGGGGGTAGATATAAATAATGTATTTGCTGTGACTCATATAAAATTTGATTCAGAGTTTGCTTATAGTCAAGGAAGAAAAAACACATTAATTATGTCACTAAAAGTAAAGTAGACCAGTTCTTCATGGGTAGCAAAGTTTTTCCTGGCTACAAATGAGATAATTTTGCAAGTAGGACAGCTAATGTAGTCAAAAAGGATCCAGGTGAATAGCTAGATACGTGGCATATCTTCTAAGTAGCTTCCTAAGTTCTGCTTCTTTCTCTCTCTGAGCATAAGATTAGAAGCACTTCATATTGTGCTCGCTGATCAAAGCTAGAGTGCTGATTTCTAATTGAGGACAGAATCTGCGTGCTTTGGCTCCTTGAGATCTGGTCTTTGCCCACCTTTGCAATCATATTAATCTTCACCTGAGTCATACATGCTCTGTGCCCATCTTTTTTATTAGCTCTCTAGTCCCTGGAACCAGTCCAGTTGGTGGCACATTTTCATTCTATAATTGTGGGTTAAGAAAATTCAGTGTTATATGTTAAATTTTTATTTGAAATACGCTTACGTATAAGAGTTTTAATATTTACTAAAAGTCCAGTTAATGTTATTTAAGGTTTATAGTTTTATAGAAGCAGACTCTCCTTAAGTCCTAATGAACACTAATCAGACCAGAGTCACCAACCCAACATTACAGAGTTAGATATTTGCATTGATTCTTGAAAATCTATTTGTTAAACAGAGTTCTTTGGCATCGCTCTTTTGTTTATACTAGATCTTATGTTTTTATTTATTTTAATCAGTAAATATTTCTAAGGAACAAACTGCTTCAATGGAGTATCTTTCTTCAAGGATAAATTCAACACTAGTTATAACCAATGTGATATCATTGGCAAAAGTATGTGTTACCCAGCCTACAGGGAACACTAACAGTGTTTTAAAAGGTATGACTTAGTATCAAGGTATTTGACTATACTATAATTGTGAGCATGGTGTAGTCTAAATAATTCTTATCAGTTGTTGTTGTCAGGTGCCATCGAGTCAGAACCGACTCATAGCGACCCCATGCGCAGCAGAACGAAACAATGTCCAATCCTGGGCCAACCTCACTACCGCTGCCATACTTGAGTCCATCAATGATGCCACCTGGCCAATCCATCTCGTTAGGGGTCTTCCTCTTTTTCTCTGACCCTCCACCTTACCCAGCATGACATCCT